GTCAAGAAACTATATGTTATTTTCCTAACAGAAAATGAAGAAAGAAAAAAAGACAGGTCATGTTAGAACATATAAATCATCCAAGTATAGAGTAGAAATTGATTTTAACTATAAGGTTGATCAATTTAGAGAAGCATGTAGTTTTATAAGATTAATTTTATGATATATTGCCATCACGTTGGTAGTCCGATAAATCTACATTCTCACTTGAAATATTTGGTGCCAGTGTGGTATAACCTTGATTTGTTCTTTGGAAATTCTTCATAATTATTGAGGGAAAACTCACAGGAAAAATTGTAAATGACTTCTTCAAAAGACTTAGCAGACTTCTGTTTCCGGTCACTCTTTCAGACCATCCAAAACGTGTGAGCCTTGATTCACTCCACAGCACAGGTTATTCCCCAATAACAATAGGACCATGTCCACGCTTTATCTGCTTTGACAGCATCATTCAACATCTGCACTGTCACAAATTCTGTTAATAACTACCATTGTCTTCAAGTCACTGAAGTTTCTGTAAATATTGCTTTAATGGCCTGTTCCCCATTCATTTCACTCAACCACCTCCACAGAAATACCTCCTAAACACATCATTAATGCCAACGTTATATGTTTTATTTTTAATCAAGTAACTTTTTATAAGCCTCAAAATATCCATAATTGACAGAATAAGACAGTAAGCATGAAACGAGACGATAAACTCCATGGTCCGCAGACAGGCAACTGTGCTGTAGTCCGTCGGGATGACTGCGCACCAGTGAGATGCCACTTCACACAGCTGCTCCCCTTCCTTGTTCTTGAAAAGCACACAGTTCAAAAAATTTTTTTAAAAAAAACTTTTCACTTGTAAACAGCACAAGTCAAAAATGGACAATGAGGTAATCTAAATACTACACAGGATAATTTAAAAACACTAGATAAAACATCGTATTAAAGACATAGAAATCAGGGTTCACTTTGGTCTCTAGTATGGTTAGAGCTGTTAATACCAAAAAACATTGCAGACTGATGAACGCCAGCTTGACGGTGGTGCCGCTGGCTGACAGATGTGGTTCAGAGGTAGTCAACTCTACAGTTTGCAAGCTGGCAACCTTCATAAGTGTTAAGCCTCACACACAATATCTTATTTTCTCACACTACAGTATTTTGCCATAACTTTGCAGCTTTGTTCCAAATACAGACGTTTTAAACAATGAGTACTTAGGTCAACCTCTCACTCTAACTGAACAACAGACCACAGATCACACAACAACCACATCTGTAAGAGGCTGCTGACCGTTTCGTAAGACAGAATTTGGTGCTTTTGACAAGTTGTTCTCTAAAACAAACAAATCTCATTAAGACATCTAGAAAATCCACATCAGTGCAGCTGGGCTTGTACATACTTTCCCAAGTTTTACAATCAAGGGGAAAATACACATATATATTTTATGATAAACATTTCTTAGAGAAAACAGATAAATTAATTTAAATTAACTTTAAGACTTAATGAGATTTCCCATGTCCTGTATAATTCATCTTACAGTGAATGTTACAGTCTATTAACACTTTCGGGCTTCTATTCACAAACTAAATACAACCAGCAGTAACTTGGGGCCACACTGGTGCAAAACAAAATTGAGCCAGAACATACACATAAAAAAATTGGCAATGAAGACATCCTCTATTTGGAGTTGGACTGATGTTAACAGCATGGTATTCCTTGATCTTCCTTCCATTGCACACTAAACATCCCAGTTATACGCAGGTTAAAAAAAAAACCTTTCAATTGTAAAAAATACATCCAAAGTCTTCTAATAAAGACTAAAAATGCAAGTATAAAAAGGTTTCCATTATAATCTGCCACACAGCGAACGAACAGCTCGTAGGGCTAGAGCCTGGTAGTGCATCCTTAATAGGAATTACATTTGTGTCAACATAATGGTGGGATCAAGGAACAACTTAATTCACGGCCCTGCTGCCCTACAACAAGTGATCCCTGAACAATGGTGCCTTACACAAACCCTTTCCTGTCCGCTAGCTGGAAATGGCATTGCACTTCAAGTTTACTCTTGGCAAGCCGGTGCTATTTAGCTCAGTGCCCGGCAGTATAATGCTGTAAAACACTTGATTTCAGGGTAGCAAAGTCATGTAAATGAAGGAGCTTGGCATCTTTTATAGTGTTTGGCTAGCAGGAACGCACTCACACTGTCCCTCCTCCCTCTCACTAGCCCTTCACTCTTGGGCAAAAACAGTTCTTTCCAACGTGGCTTCTCCATGTTCTGCTTTACGTAAGCTGAAGAGTGCCCATAAGTCTTTTAAGCTAAACGCGTGGTGCCTTCTAAGGAAATGCTTGGAGACTGCTAACTAAAAAAAGATGCTTCATTACTCACAGGTATTTATAAGAAACATGCAGTTGTGAATTGCTATCTATAATACGGATAAAAAAGGTTCTGTACCAGAAACGCATCAGGAACCTGTAAGGCTGGAGCAGCACAGAGCTGTGCTATGCATCAACTATGAGGTAGCCTTTTGCTGTAAACAGAATACTTCACCTATGTAAATGAACAATGTGTTCACATCAGTGACATTTACATATGCAAGGAGCCGAGGACGTCTGCTTTAGAGAACTTTTCACGTGAACTCAAAACAGGAGAACTGCTGTTTGATACTCAGATGTCGATGTGTGTCAAACTCAGAGGTAGTTCCTAACATCAGTATGTGTACTTACATAAAGGTCAAAGCTATTTGGTTTGTTTTGAGTAAGTAGGACTGTCGACAAATCTGTAAAGAAACACAACAATATCAGAGGGTATGTTCCCTGAGCAAAGGTCTTTGTCCTGAGTATGTAATGCAATAGTGATCATCTTTTCATATAAAAAATAAACCCCAACTTCTAACCACAAGGGATGTTTGGTATGTGCGTAGTTCAGTCTGGTGAGACGCTGGAGAAGATGTTAAATTGTACCCAAAGGGTCCTCCTTTCTCAGTGTTTCTGTGTTTTTGTTTCTCATCATGATCTCAGCTCTGAACTTGTAAATGTAAACAAGGAATGTCTGATTTTCAAGTCTATAATTTCCTATTTCTGGAAGGTCAACGAACTTTGGTTTGAATTTTCAAAGTGACTTATGTTTTTGCATTCTTTGACTGTTTAAAAAAACCTGTTTATGATACCTGCTAAAAAATTCAGTAATGCCACTTTGATTTGTCTACATAATTTAAATAAGCTTGACATCCTCACGTAAGGCAAGGAAGTACTCCTACAGCTACATCACATTCAATATCGTCAAAGGAAAGCTTTGCATCACAGCACACGGATACTCCAGTACTTGCCATGGAAATTCTCACAAACACTGTTTGAAAATTCAAGCTGAGCTCTGGAGGGCTGGCAGCCCAGCCCTAGGCATTTTCTTCTTCTGGCAGCTTGCTGGGACAGCATTGGCTGTACCAGTCTCCCACGTCAGGACAAGGGGAGAGGGGAGCCGATATTGTTGCGCAGAGTATGTCTCATTTGAGTCAACTCTCTCTTTTTGATTATCTGAGCTTATACCCACAGGCCCATACAAAACTATATTTATAGCCAATATCAAGCATCATTAATTGGTATTCTCTTGGAGATGTTTCACAAATTGGCCCATAACATCTAGAACCCAAATACACTTCCCCGCCCCCACCCCCCATGACTGTAACTTAGAGGGACCAATTGTATAATTGGTCCCGTCAGTTTATTCCCACAGCCAAGCACCCACTTAGCAACTCTTGATTCCCAGTACAAATGTTCATTCATCCTAAATCTACTCTATGGGTTACTTCAGGGTAAGCACTGAAGGTAACCTTCATAAAATCAATGTTTATGTATATTATACTTGAAGCTATCTGGAGGAGAGGTGTCGGTGCCCCTGCCCCGGGCTTGTCACTCTTATGTCCTGCCACTGAACAGTGTCCTTGTAAATATATCACTGACAGGCCACGACCATTGGGCAACTGTGAGCATCTACTTAATTTCTTTTCTCAACCCCATATTTTATTCAACTCTGTTATTCGTTTGTTTGTTTTAAAAACAAGCTAGGTAATTCTCCCAGGGGAACAAAAACAGCCACCAAAACATATGCATAAATGATTGGAGTTTTCCTCTAAGGTCTTCAGTAGTAAAAGGAGGGCTCCCTGCTCCAGGAGCGGTTAGAAGATGGCCTTGGTCAAAGGGAGGCTGCTGTTGCTACAAGCCCTTTAACACCTCATCATACGGGGAAGATCACAACGAGCTGATAGCAAAATACCATTGAAAATAATCAAGTCACTATGGTGATACACTACGCTCCCCTTCACTTCTGTTAATAGGCATCTCATTTACACTCAAAACACAGATTTCAAGACATTGAAATATCGGCACAAAAACCACACATTCATTGTCATTTCTGGAGTAACATATCCCAGAATCACAAATCTATGGTAGTCAGAGGCATATGGAGTGAGGGTGATGCCTTCAGACACTCCACAGAGAGCAAGAAAGAGAGGCAATCCCAAACTCTAGGAGAACTGGGTGTCTTAAAAAACCTTTAGTACCATATGATTGGCAGCTCTGAGATCTAAAGTATCCTTTGGTTCACACAAATGGTTAACAGTCATGCTTTTGCTTTTATGTTATATAAAAAAGGCAGTGGTTCAAGAAAAACCCTGGGGGTTATTTTCAAAACCACTGCAAATGCATCGCATGGCTTTTCAATTCTTGGACGTGTCCAATTACGGGAGGGCGGTTGTGTGCTTGCATCTATATACACACATATGTAAAGATGTTCACATTCCTCTATGAAACACATATTTGCACACACACACACACACACACAAGCTCTCCCCTCTCACACCGGCACATACTGATACACATAGCATCTCATATTCTGAGTAACATAAAACAAGACACCCTGCTCAAATACAATTTGCTTAGAGTGATTTGTCTGTTTTAAAAATTCACAGTTCCTCAACAGTAGTTAAAAATCCCAGGCCAGCTGCTATTGGTGAAATACTGTTCCCTGTGTGCATGAGGTAGACTTCCCAATCAGGTATGCAATGCAAGACACTAGCAAGGGTTATGTCTTTTTCCTTTTCTGAACTGAAGGCCCCTTTTTGTTTGGTTCTTCTGGTGCTGCCGACAACTTCGTGGAGGAAGCTTCTGGAAGTGACTTGCCCGGCCGCTCTGCAGCATCTGGCCTCGCCTCCTGAGGAAACGGTGGTGACGTGCAGCCGTGCCCTCCTCCCACTTCTGCAGGGGCTGTGGGGGGGCATGGCTGGGACTCCACTTCCTGTCTTCCCTGAGAACTGGCAGGCAGCTGTGCAGCAGTCTTGTGTGGGCAGTTGGCCACCATGTGCAGGATGCTCTGACAGTAATGGCACTTCTTTGGCTGAGGAGGTAGGCTGCATTCCTTAGCATGATGATCAAGGCCACCACAGTTGTAGCATCTGTAGGTAAGAATCAGAAACATCTTAAAGGTAGGTGGCATGCACCAGAAGACATGTAGTAAGTAAGAAAAAAAATCCCTAAAATATATAAAACTATCAACGAGTTCGGGGCACTTGCATGTGACATTAAAAAAATAGATCTGAAAGTCACAGAGGCAGAAACAGAGACAGATCTTCCATCCATTGGTTGACTCATCAGCCCCAACAACCAGATCTCAGCCTGAACTAGAAGTCAGAAACTCCATCCTGGTCTCCCACATGGCTGGTGGGGACCCGTCCTCTGCTGCTTTTCCAGGTGCATCATCAGAACGCTGTACGGCAAGCACAACATCTGGGACTTAAACCAGTGCTTTGCTATTGGATGCCAAGGCTGCTGCCTCAAGTATAACGGCCATGCATTCATTCTGGTTATACTAGTTGGTTCAGATGGTATGCTAGTTGTATGCAGGTTGTTTCATCAGCAATAGGATAGCTAAGTAATAAAATTAGTTGTCTGAAACGCAGCAGTGATTGGAAAACAAGGGCACAGAGCCATGAAGGACTATTCAATCATTTCCACACAGACACAACTCCGCATTTAAATTCGATAGGTTACTAAAAAAGAACACTTTAGTCCACTAGAGGGCAGACAAAATTTAACAAAAACCAACCAGCTAGCTGTAAAAACACAGCTGTGACATGATAGGAAATGGCAATTCATTTAGCATTTGGGACAATTATAGACCAAATTAAATTTTATGAGCTTAACACTTCCTTGAATGTTAATTATGGTCATGGGAACCAGCCGAACTGGAAAGGATTTTTTCCCCTTTACAAAATTAGAGTACTACAGTGTAATTCAATATGCATCTAGTCAGAATATCAAAATGATATCTGGTAAATTACCAAATTATTTTCAAGGCAGTATATTAAGTGAATCAGAATACTACTATGGAAGATCTCTAACTACTTCAATTAACAAAGGCGGTGTGAGCTCAGGGATAGAAAATTTTCTTTTCTGTAAGAAATCAATTTTCCTTTACTGTGAGAATTTTCCAAATTTATACTCATTGCTAATTAATATCTATACCCTGGGAGACATGGCTTTGTATGCAATGTGTGAAAATCTGACTGCTTCAGCCAAACAAGCAAATGACCTGAAATTTAGCATCTTACAGCATCTTCTATCAGGAGTGGGTATTTGGCTGCTGTAATGCCATATCCATTTTCAGAGCACCTGGCTCTGCATTCTGACTGTTCCTCATGCCAACTTCCTGCTGACACATACTTTGAGAAGCAGCAGGTGTTGGCTCAAGTAGTTAGGTCCCTGCCACGCACATGGGAAACCTGGACAAAGCCATAAAACACCATCTGGGGAGCAAATCAGTGGATGGGAGCTCACTATGTCTACCAGTCGTTCAATTGAAAAAATATATACATATAGCAATACATATAGCAAGTATCAAAGAAACTAATATTCATCTATATACACACACGTATACACATATTAAATGTGTAAGATTAAATGTTTTAAGAGTTTCCTATTTTCTGGGCCTGGCGCCATGGCTCAGTGTCTAAATCCTCGCCTTTGCACACACAGGGATCCCATATGGGTGCTGTTTTGTATCCTTGCTGCTCCACTTCCCCATCCAGCTCCCTGTTAATGGCCTGAGAAAGCAGTGAAGAATGGCCCAAAGCATTGGAACCCTGCACCCACTTGGGAGACCTGGAAGAAGCTCCTGGCTTCGGACTGGCTCAGCTCTGGCCGCTGTGGCCACTTGGGCCGTAAATCTGCCCTTCCAAAAATAAAAAGATAAATAAATATTTTTTTAAAAGTTTTCTATTTTCCAAATATTTATTTATCACCTCATAATTCTAATTACTAAATCTTTTTTTTTAAAGATTTATTTTTATTATTTTTTATTGGAAAGGTGGATATACAGAAAGGAGAGGCAGAGAGGAAGATCTTCCGTTCGATGGTTCACTCCCCAAGTGAGCACAACGGCCGATGCTATGCCGGTCTGGAGCCAGGATCCAGGAACTTCTTCCGGGTCTCCCACTAAGGCGCAGGGTCCCAAAGCTTTGGGCCATCCTCGACTGCTTTCCCAGGCCACAAGCAGGGAGCTGGATGGGAAGTGGGGCCGCCGGGATTAGAACCGGCGCCCATATGGGATCCAGGCATGCAAGGCGAGGACTTTAACCACTTGCGCCACTGCGCCAGGCCCCTAATTACTAAATCTTTAAAATTTTCTTCTATTATCCATATACCTACATGACCCTATAACTCTAATTACAAGTAAAAATAATAATAAGCTACAATGCTAAAAAAAATAGTAAAGTATGTGTTACTTATGGGAATTAGCTAAGACTAAAATAGCAACAAAAATCAACTAAATACACTTAGATTTGTATGACAGAGCAAGCTTAGCAAACTTAAGACTGCCTTATATTTCAAAGAGAAAAAACCAATGCACTATTAACCCTCTAAGCTGTATTTGCAGCATACTTTGTAATTCATCTTGTGAGATTTCATAGAGTGAATTTTCTTGGTTGCCAAACTCAAGCCTACCTATTGCCTCCCCTGGCAGCTGTCAATATTAGCTTACAGAGTTTAGAATACCAGATTGTGAGATAGGCCTTTATTCTTTGTATTAATCACCAAGTATTTACTTTATGGCAGACTCAAGCTATTTTTAAAAAATTAAAGGGACAAGCCAAGAAATCATGTTTTCAAAAGAAATGCACAATTACATTCTTTCATATAATAAATTAATGAAACATTGCAACACAGACACAATAGATTCACATGTGTGTTCAAAGAGGCAGGGCAAAAATCAAAGAATCAAATTTACTAACGCTTTTTAAAATCATTAGTAGGTATCCAAAGCAATAAACTAAAAAAAAAAAAAAAAAAAAGGAGCATCTTTTAAAAATGTAACTGCATTATTTATAATAATGTTTTCCCACATCATTCTCTTCAATAATGGGTAGGTGAAATTCTTAAATTCAATTTGTTCATCTATAAAAAAAATCTTCCCTGAATTAAATTCACTTCCTTGAAGATCACATCCACTCAGGAGCTCATTTTCACAGAGAGAGAAAATAGGTTAAAGGCTTCAGTAATAGAGCTGCTCTCCTGCGGACACATCAATTTCATCAGTCACTGCGGTGTGTGGTGCGTTATCCAATTCAGGGAGCTGTTCTGCCTACTCATTGACCAAAGGTCTGAAGTCAGGAATCGACTTTCACAAACAGGGTGTTCCATCATCTTCTGTATATGCGCTGACCTTCATTTATTCGGGTTATAAAACTTATTTTTAAGGATACTGCCTTGCATTTTTATCTGTATAGTTAATCTGTGCTATCTCAGGATTTTCAGATACATGCTGTCATTAGGCCAGAGTGCCTGCCCCACTGAGGAGATCTACATTCAGTGTATATGTGCTTAGCCTTAAGAGGGGCAGGCATGCTATTTATTCTCCTATTGAATCATTCAGTGTCAATCATTCTTAGTAAGAGTGCACGTCTTATTCCTTTTATGAAAACCCCTTCCTCCCGAGGGACTGACACCAAAATGAAAATGTTGAGCTACCTTCCCACTCATAAAGGATACCAGGGCCACCTCCTCCACGGCAGCCATACACGTCTTACCTCACTCCCTTTGTTCATTCCCCACATCCCTCCAAGTCAGCTTGTTTTGTTAGTTGGAGAGAATTTTACATTGGGATGGGAGCATGTGTTTACATGTACAGCTACATGCTTCAGAAGAACTACACAAAGAGACTGTGGAGCTGTGTTCCACATGCCCATCACTCGAGATAAAGAAGAAAATGATTCATGTGGAATGTTTTGTAAAATGCTAATCCAATGCACAAAGTACATTTCCCATACTAAGCACAAAGGCAAAAACAGATGTCTATAATGTTGCTTTATAAAATTACTTTATAATTTAATCAGCACATTCTATAATGCTTATTTAAAGATAAAGCTAAATAACAATTAAATGGTTGTCAATTTCTTAAAAGACTCAGAATAGGATTCAAAGTTTTAAATGAAAAGAGGATGCTAATAACATAATGGAAATGCCAAATAAATATAAATGAATAACTAAGTAAATATTCTTTCAGATCCTTAGAATTGTTTAATTAAATCTTGATGTTAATTAAATGAGTTGTTACAAATAAAGTCCAATCACCTATATTAGCCAATAAATTCATCACAACATCCAAATTTCTGAGGATCACACTGGAAAAGAATTCTCTGATTTACAAATAGGAATTTAGATCTGTCATGATCCTTAGAAAAGTTTTCATTTTTTGATCCAAACAAGTGGTTTAGTAAATTATATTTTTAAGTGGAAGCACAAATAATGGGTAGAACTGAGAGTAGCTATGAAACATTGAGGAAAATATGCAGAGATGTCGAATTTCAAATAACACTGTAACGGCTAAAGTGAAAGGATTAATTTATTCACTGTGTATTCCCCCTTCATCCCAAATGATTAAAAAAAAAAAAACCCTGGGAGATACTCTACAGAATTGCACCATAAAATTCAAAATTAAAATTAAAAAATAAAAATTGGGAGAGGCACGTTACCACAACAGTGAGCTGGACTGACCTATCTAAAAATGCCCTGACAAAAATGTAACTGGGGTTGCTTCTCAGCATAGAATGCCGATTAATGAGAATTTATATGAAACCTCTAATCCAGATGCCAAGTGCCTGAACGGGGCACTGAGAATAATGACGGCGTAATTCACAAGCTTTTCATAGGGAAAGAAATGCTGAAAGACCAGTAAATTTAGCAATATCATAGACAGAACAAGAGGGAGACAATGAATATAATGGGGAAAAAAAGCTTGCCGGTTTCTGGCAGGAAGAAGAGTAAGAATATAAGGAAGGAGTACATCAAAATCCCTGAGGAGCATAACAGATGAGAAGTGCCAACGAAGCTTCCAACATGAGGGGTAAAGGAAACCACAGATGGGAAAGAACTCCAGGAACTAAACGGAAGAAGAGCT